CCACCGCACAGAGACTGTCAGCGTGGACGACAGAAGGACATATAGCCAACCGCAGAAATAGCGTGAATAGATCAAGCCAAAAACGCACAGGAACTGTCAGCGTAGCATCTAAACACGTCTAAACATGCGGGTCAAACATAACATTTCTTTAAACTTACACAGGGTAAGTATTGTCCATAACATGTCGCAATGATCCGGCGACGATGGAGCGTCTGCCCAAAGTATAAATAAGGAGGAAAAACTAACCAGTGGGATGCACCCCAGCTGTGTGCACCGACAAACGAGTCGCCAATTACCGAGTGCAACACAGCTGAGGGGCAGAATCCCGCAGATCAAGAAAATAGAGGAGAGAAAAGTGGAGGAGAGGCAGGGGCCCTGACAATCACCCTCCAAACTGTTAATGGTGAGGGGGAAAAAGTGCACAGTGTCTGTATTTCACGTTTTCAGTAACTTGATTTTAGAGCTTGAATTCATGTCTGGATTGAGTTTGTAAAACAAACTTTCATTCCTACTTTTCCTACTGCTTACTTTTGTTTGCACCAACCAATAGTAAGCAGTGTAAGGCTCAGATTATAATAATAACTGTAGTATGCTAATGTAAAAGAGAACTATATAAGACCAGGTATAGGTGTATTTGATAGAAATGGAGTGATTAAAGCAGGTTCCCGATAACAAGGAAAGAACAGAAAACTGTTCGACAGAACATTTAACATCCGCGTCACTTCCCTGTCAGACAGAGTCGGTGTCTGCAGTGTATCGCCATGTTGGGGGGAACGGGGCCGGAGTGGTTGTCTGAGGAGGTGAAGACCGGGGTAAGTAGAGTTTTAATGTCTCTGGGTAAGTTGGTGGCCGGATAATGTGCGCAGCGGTTACAAGTGTGAGAATCAATCCTGAACATCGCCTCTGTTTGTAGACGACCATCATTGCCATAGAGTTTAATGGAGGGGTCGTCCTGGGGTCAGACTCCCGAGTTTCTGCAGGGTAAGTTAGTGTGTTTGTGATCCGAACATTATCTTCGGCAGATTCTGACGCTTCTCAAGCAACATTTCCGAAACTCCCTCCTCTTTATCTTTCTTCACATAACATACAGTTTAGCTCCTCTTCCTTTCCATCTCCCCCCACATTCACACTGTCCCTCTTCATTTCTCCCTGCAGAGCCACAGTGGTGAACAGGGTGATGAACAAACTGTCTCCTCTTCATGATAAGATCTACTGTGCTCTGTCAGGCTCTGCAGCAGATGCTCAGACCATCGCTGAGATAGTGAACTACCAGCTAGATGTGCACAGGTAAAGTCCCAGTGACAGCAGACCGATCAACATGGGTACCTCAGTATCACAGTGGCCAAGTAAAGCTCTGAATAGTGAGGAAAATATAACAACTAATGTTTTGCGGTGAAAATTCTCATTTGTATATTAAATATTGGTGACAAATTGTCCTATTAGATATTGACCAATTCTGTATGAACTGTAAATATATTAACCTTCACAAACCTGCACTGGTCTAAACCTTGTTTATAGCTTGATATCCTACAACACTGATGGATTCACTAACACAGAACAGATAGTGCTTCTGCCTGCTTCAGTCCCGGCCCCAGACTAATCCAGCTTTCTCCAGCTGACTCCTTGATTCCCTCGAAGATCAGGTTTTTTCGCTTGGACTGTACTTCCAAATGCTCCATTTTATCCGTTATGGCTATTAGACTCTCACAAGTTTTGTAGACATCATCCCTTGTTTCCTTGGTTTGTATTTTCTGTTCACCCATGGCTGCTTTAATCACATCCACATCTCGCTGGGTAAACTGCAAACTCGTTTTTATCTCCTGTATTTCTCTGGTCATGTCGTCGAGTCTCTTATTTGTCTCCATAAGTAGTTGCACAAAACCTTTGAAGTTATCTTGTTGTTGGCTCAACAGTGCGGTGTACATCTGCTTCTGCTGACTCAACATTAGTATTCATTGACTCTATTCCTTTGTATCCACACCAATAAACCACCATTTTTACTAGCACCTGGGTCAGCAGTCTTGAGTCCAACCTCAGTTCTCCCTCACCCTCCTGGTGAGGGGGACTAACCATAACACCGAGTCCCAACAGTGTGAGTGTTAAGCAGGTTTCAGTCCCTACAATGTGAATAAAACCAGGCACAAACACATGTATGGATTATGGCTATTTGTAAATATCATCAAAGAGACGCTTGTACTATTCTGACAAGTCCTCCTACATAAAATATGTGCTTTCTTTTTGTGAACCTTCTCTAACACTTGCTGTAGGTGTTATGATACAGGCCTGCTTAATGTTCCATGGGTTAACACAAAACATGGGAAAACTTGTCTATATATTACACATACAGTACAGCCTTGCCAAAGGTCTTATGTGTAATGTACATGTCCACATCTGATAACTTTTTCAATCCTAGAGTAATTGTGATTCATTGGGCGAGAAGAGAGGTACACCCTGGACAGGTCGCCAGTCTATCACAGGGCTGACACTTAGACCTAGACAACCACACAGACCATAAATGGTCTTATATAGTGCTTTTCTACGCAGTGATGCACACTCAAAGTGATTTACAGTATTTCCCATTCACCCATTCGTGTACATAAACACTCACCAGGAGCAACTAGGGATTCAGTGTCTTGCTGATAAGGGCACTTCAACATGTAGATTGGAGAAGCCAGGGATTTGTTTTTGTGTGATAAAATTATGGTTACATTTTAGGATGATTTGGTGATTTAGTGTGCATGTCTTTATAAAGCTGGAGAGAGAGACAGATGTAAAAATAAATTGTGAAAAAGTAGTTAAAGTTACAGTATGTAACTTTTTAAAGTTTTTTTATTTTAAGATTTTTGTTGTAAAAATCTGCTCTATAACCTGCCTTAATGTGGAGAGGTGCTGTCAAAGCCTCCTGTGACCCAAACTCATTGAACAGCACTGGCAGCAGTGCAAAGATATTAGTTTCTAAAACGTTTTGAGCAGGACTGACCTCTCTAACCAACCAGAGGTTTTCAATTATTTCTGCATGATCAGTAAGTTGTGTTGCATTCTCATTTCTTGTAATTTCATAGCAACAAATATCTGAAGAGCTGGGCAGAGCGTGGCGGACTGTAGCAGATTGTGGTAGAGCATAGTAGGTTAGGGAGAGAGAGCGCTGGGCGGAGCAGTATGGATCGATTTGGAGTTTTATGCTAGTGCTACCTTAAGTTACATACTGTAGCTTTAAATGATAATGTAATATGATTCATGCTTTTCTGCATATTACATTGGGCAGCATATCTTTATTTTCACAAATATTTTGTGCTCTTCTTTTTTATTTTTATTTTTGGTAGTATGATCTCAGAGCCAGCATTAAAGGTCCCTCTAACAAGCAAGGACTAATCCCATCTAAAGCTTTCTACTCTAGTGATGCCCCTGGATACAAGAAGCACACTTTTATAATTGGCAGCCACTGATTAATGCATGACTACACTCTGCTTCCAGAAGAGCTCAGTTGATCTATAAAAACTCCAAATGTTCTTTCAGCCATATGCAAATCTTGTTAACTCACTATCACACAGACTGAGAGTGAACTGGAGAAGACTACTGGTGAAGTCACAGTTAAGTTACTGTGTTACAGAAAATATCCCAGTTTGACACATTTATATACAATACATGGTCCTTTATGGACAAGATATTGGAAACATCAGTTCTTGTTCTTCAGCTATTTTGTTTTTTTTTATATTCTATAGTGAAAATAATAGAAAAGCTGAAAGGGCTGATCACGCTTCCTGCCAGCTAATTAGAGCGCACAATGAATCATTCCAGATAATATAAAACGGTTAATATTTTGCCAGTGAAGAAGTCAGTTTTTTCTCTGTGCTAGGTATCACTGCCCAGAGAGAATGAAGAAGCTATACTGATCTGTAGCAGAGACAGTGGCTGTCTATTTGGGAAGGGTGTGTGTGTTTCTATTTGTGTGTGTATGAGGCAGGGGTCCTGACAGATGGATGGATGTCAGGGTGACAGTGAACAGATGGAGGCTCTGATGGATTGTAGCAACATTAAACGAGAAAAAGGAGCAGAGCCCTTGGTCAGAATGCAGACGCAGCAGCCCAGCACGCCTCGTCACTCTCCCACTTCAACTCTGTGCTTTAATGGCATGACTGTTTATCAGAGGCTCTGTGCGAAAGCAGCACACTGAATGTCAGCTGTCAAAACAACGAATTGGTACACTCACACCGCCTCCCTCTGTCCATGACTCCTCTCTGTCCTATTCACTTGTTTCTGTCTGATTTTGTGTTCTCACTTGACCTTTGCGACACAAATAATCATCAGAGCTTTAATTACATTCATTTAACTCAGTTTTTTGTTTATCTCTGAACATTTGGTACATGATGGTACAGGGTACAGTGACAGTGAGGAATTTACAAGTATTTGGCTATATTTAGCCTTGCAAAATATGAGCATCCAGGACAGGTTCAGTATGTGCATGCCTGTCCAGGAACTTTTTAGAATGTCAGTAGACATCCACACAGACTCTAAACACAGATGTCTGTTTTGGTTGTCCACAGATCTCCAAATAGAGTTACATTTTTTTAATATCTCAATAGGACTTTGAACATCCACCGAGGTTCAGTATCTGGATGTTTAACGGGAACCATTTTTTGAGCCTGGTTATCCCTGGCCAAAAGTCATCCCAGCAAACATGTTTAGACATTTTATAATGGTTGTATCAATAGCCACCAAGATGTACCATGATGTTTGAAAAAGTGATGAAGTCTAGTAAAATCATAAAGTAAAATCCATATGTCACTGATGTGTGGACACTTCTAGGTTATAAACAAGCAAACTACCTGTCAAATTATATTGTATACAGTAAGCCTGATCAGGATTTCCAAAACTGGTCCTGAGCAGATCACCAGATACTCAACTTGTAGTGGATGTCAGTGGATGTCCAGGCCAAGTCTTGTTAGGATGTTCAGATATTTAAACAATTTTGGATCTTTAAGAATGTCTAAAACAGATCACAGACAGACATTTTTGCTTCGTGTTTGTTTTGGATGTCTACTGATCTCTCATTTAGGTCCCCAAAAGATACAGAACCTGTGCTGGATGTTGGTGGACATCCAAATTAAGTCCAATTTAGACAATCGGCCATTTTATTAATTGGACATCTGTGAACATCCAAGACAGTTCCAAACCAGACATCAATGTTCTGAGTCTGTTTTGGATGTCTGATGACTTCCAAAATAGGCCCAGGATAGACGTCCACATATTTAAGAATTACATTTTGTCCAGGTGTATTTTGGGGGTCTGGGGACATCAAAATGATGTCAGACATCTAAATCTAAGCATATAACACAGTGCCATGGGTGTCAGAAATGGCCTTAGAAGGATAGTCTAATATTGCTTGTACATCAACAGGTGTCTAATATAAGTCATGACCAGGGGCCACATGAATAAAACTATGTGTAGATTCATGACTAAAACAGTATGTACGCACCAAGACAGATGCCTGGTTCTGCTTTATAAATCTCAGTCATGGTGTAATTGGGTGCACGTGTACAAGCTTCATTTCCACTGCCATTTTTTAGCCATAAATAGATATAAACATGCCTTTAATCAATCATTTGCATTAAAAAAGAACAGTCTGAACAGCACATCATTAAGCATGGCAATGAAAGTGACATTAAGGAATAAGTGCAATATCATTGATTGTAAAACTGAGACTGATTGGAGAGGTGGAGAAAAGAAAATGTGATTTGTTTCAGGGATCACAAACAGTGGAAAAGCTCTTGACTGGCAGGTTATCAGTACTGTCAGCTCAGAGCAGAGGACCGAGGCTGAGGTACAAAGGAAGTGGTTGGATTGTAAGCAAGAGGCAGTGGAGCGCATGAGGGCAACATGAGGAGGACCGGCACTTCCTGCATTATCTACAGCATCACAGTTTTAGTCACACATCTTTGTAGGGAACAATCTCTAAGCGCTCTTTCTCATCTTACAGCAGCATTATGAAGATCCTGCAGTAATGCCAGAGCAGCTGTCCTCACCCATGTCCGTTATGCACAGCTACAGCTATTGTAGATGTAATTTAATCACACGCATATAAAGGTTTATTGTTAGGCTATGCCTCAATCATCAATAGACGAAAATGAATTAATGACAACAATATAAGCAGTTTACAGAGTAATTTACAAGAAGGTCTAAAATGGAAAAAAAAGAACAAAATTCATCTGGCCTACATAAACACAGTATTTAAATAAACTTCATGAACTGAAATATATGTAACCAGCTAAAAATTATGAAAGCTGTTTAAAATTGTCTAAGCTTATTTTTCATTTCACCTTTACCATGTCACACCTACAGATATAGAATGGTGGTCCGTGTCAGATGAT